AGGTCCTGCCACGTTACCACTGGATGCATGCGTGCAAGCTACGTGCCACAAAATCAACTCAGAAGGATAGTCTCAAAAAGTGAAAAGTGGCAAGACATGGTGACACCCATCTCCAGTTACGCAATGCTGCCGCAGACAGAGGAAATAAAGCGTTCTTTGTGCTCAGCAGAGACGGGACAAGGAACAACATGCTTAAACTGCAGCACAGGCACTTCATATTACAGATTATGAAAGGCTGCCTGCAGCAGCAACAGCTAGGCACTACAGCAAATTGCCTGGACAAACCATAGCAGCTTCTAAGAACAATCCTGACAAACGCGTTAGGAGAGGTTTAGGCAGAGCCTTCCCTTCCCCAGCTACCTCTCACAGTCTCTTCCATCCCCTTTATAAAAGGGTATGAAAATTCCAGAAAGCTTTGACTTCTACGTGAGATTTACAGGTGCCTCTACTGTTTATTTAGGAAGGAGCATGTTGCAGTGGTGCAGAGAATAATTTTCAAGACTCGTGAGCACACTGTTGTGCAAGCGGCACACAAAAGATGTTTGTGTATATTTTTACTACACTACCAGGTTAGGGGCCACGGGAACAAAGGCAGGAAAGCTTCCATGAAGCAGGCAGGGGCTATTTTGGCTCTGTATGTCTGCTAACAGAACAGCAGCCTGCAATATGTTTAGCACTCATCTTGCTGTCTATAGCTACTTGCAGAGCTTACCCATTATAATATCCTCCAGATACCCAACAACTGCATCAAACTCTGCGTCAGAAGGGGAGGAGCTGAAAGCAAAGGAAAACGGTACCACGTGAATTTATGTTTCAGCCACAGCAGAAATAACAAAATTAAAAAGTGTTAACAAAAGCCTAAGCACAAATAAGCCCAGTAATTACAAGATAAGTGAATAATTTCCTAGTTTCAACCTACAAAATAATCCACGACGCTGACGATAGGACTGCTTCATGGGGATTCTCATCAGGCCTTTACTGTATTTCCCCCCCCAGTAAGGTGCCTAATTGAAAAAAAAAAAAATGTTGTTTTACTGGCATTACTATCAAGGTAATTCCAGTCCTGGTGCAGAAGGATGTAAAGAGTGTAATTCGAACAGCAAATCAAGCATTTTCCAACCCACAAATCCCAGCTGCTACCACAAGCTTCCCTTCTGCTCTCTTCCCTGCGTAACTCTACATGGCGATCGTAGAACTCCAGACACTCTAGAGAATATTTTGAAATACTTGGTCTTGTGGATCCACTTAAACTCAACGTATACACAATATTATACAACTGAAGAAACTTAAATATTTTTCTTATGCAAGAAACATCCCTGCATGCTACAAATAAATGGCATAATCTCCTAAGGCCATTCGATCATGAGCAAATATTAAACACCATTATGGATCTGAAGTCATCCAGGGAAGAAACCTTTGGTACCAGCATTTCAGGACTCTGGATCCCTCTGCTAAATCTATTATTGTGCAGCTTGTTCAGACACATTAGAAAATCCACAGGATCCCCTTGGCCTTGGCATTCAGAGCTTGTCTTTAGCAGGGGATGAACTCTTCCTATATTCTCCAGGAGATGAAAGACAGGCTTTTCTCACACATGAGGGACACAAGCCTCATAGGACATTTGTCTTTAAGAAAATAAAGTTAGCTTTGATCACCAAAAGCACCATTTAAATTAAATTAAAATTAAATGTCTCTCTATTTCTCTCTCACTAGTAAACAGAGCAGAACCCTCTTTCAGACTAAGTTTTAAAAAACTCATTAAAGTTATTTTGCTGCTGAACAGTAGTCCAGTGAAATTAATCCAACAACAGTTTAATGGACAGTTTAACTATAATGAGCCATAGGGCTCATTCTGACCAGGAAAAATGAAGAGATATTTGATTTAAAAAGGCGCCCAATCACCAAGTGATGTTCTAGCAACATTTCTGATCTGTTAAGCCTTGGGAGACGAGCAAAGCCAAGCCAAGGGACTGGAAAAGCGCGCTCTTTCACCAGAGGGCAGGACACCACAAGGAGAGGAGCTGCACAGCACAGTCGAAGCATTACCTACCCTGAGCATCACACTCAGGCAATAGGGCTCATCGCTCTCCATTTACATGCAAAGACAGGAGACTTTGCTATGGGTAACTTCCACTCCTTTTTTTCCCCTCCAAAACAGTGCTATTATTGGTTTTATAGCTTATTCTAACAGCAACAGAAAATTTGAAGTATTTATTTAAACCCCAGTTTAAGCTTGTGAGACAAATCATGGAATTTCAACTGTTCCAAAATAGCAGTGATTCCATCTCACTATACACCACACCCGCATCCGCACACCTGAAGAAACACGCGCTCACAAATCTTGTGGTTTAAGCCTTTGTCGCCTCACCACGTCTAGTCTAGGCCAGCACAACCCGTGCTGCTGAAGAAGCCCAGGCACACGGCCATTTGTGATGGTCTGTAGACTGAAAGAACTAAATCTATGAACTAGAGCGACAGCGGCACAGGCACACGTCCCCTTCTGCCACAAGCTTTAGGAGAAGAGTATGCCAGACAGATGTGGAACGGAACAGCGTCCTAGCATCTACCAGTGTAAAATTTGATTCAGGCCACCTGTAAGAGGTCTCACGTGTCTAGAAGGAGCGCATTCAAACACAGAGGAATAGTCTCCTCTTAGAATCCGCGATATAAGACAACATATGCTCTTGAAAAGGAGAAATTTTGAACTTAAAACAAACACACAAAAAAAATTTTCAGCCTTACAGTGCTTATTTTGATCTCAGCCAGGGCTACCTGGCGCTACACTCATTGCAGTTATATTCAGTTTGACTTCACCTAAACTCTGAACTGATGTTATTCCCTCCTGGAGCTTTGTGTTCTGTGCCCTTGTTCTCCTAAGAGACAGAATCTGCTAATCAGTGTGGTGTAAATTCATTCCTGTAATTATATTCCTATTAAAATATTTTAACTAGGAAATCGTTAACTAACTAACTGTTGAAAATCTGACACAGAATGTGATGTACTCACACAGCTACACCGAAGTTTTCTTCATCAGAAGTCTCCATTGTTACTGCATAACCAGACTGGAGGAGAGGCAATCTGCTATATTGCTGCTGTTAGTGTTATTTCTTCTTTTCGGACAAAGTGCTAAGGAATAACGTGTGACTTAGCATTAATGCAAATTCAATCATTAAATTACCATACACTTCTCAAACAGCAAATCAGGAGAGAACCTTTCAATTTTTTAATGTAGGAGTTCTTCCAAAGTTACTGCTACTTCTTCTCTATAATAACCCAAATTCTCTAGGAACTTTCTCCGCCTACTCAGAGAACAGGCTCAAAATTGCTCACACTTGCAGTTAATCTCTGTAAGGGGGTTTCAGTTGGCCTTTACATCTTTTCTCCTGGAGCATCTACGACTGACTATTATAAGGACACAAGAAGATGAAGATGCCACCCCAGTCCAGCGTGTCCCGGAGAGCTCACGGGCCAGGCGTTGGATAGCGATCCCACGGGCCGGGCCAGGGACTCTGGCCAGCGCTGGTCTGTGCCCCGGCCAGGCCCTCGGCCCCGGGGCTCTGAGCGGTTACTGACCCCCTCACACAGGACAAGGCACGCAGCACCCCAGGGCCCCTGAAGATGGGCCAGCTGGCTTCTGGGTGCGCGCTGGGGACACCCTGCTCCCGCCACCCTTGCTGGG